AACGCTATAGCTGTCTCTCTTGGTACCGGACTTGCTTAGAGAGAACGGATGTGATTGCTGCATGCTTTGTTTGCAGCACCTTCACCAGCCAAGGGTTGAGTAGAAAGTAAACGGCGGTATTGTGTGTATGTATGTACATATGTAACGTGTAAATAATGTAAATATGGATTGACAACGGTTTAACTGATGTTCTGAAGGCATATACGTGTAGAAGGGAGGGGTTGAGGGGGGGTCGTGGTGTACTGTGGGGGATCCGTGGGGTCATGAGGGGATGGGGGGGGGTGGGGGCTCCGTGGGTCATTTTGGTCAACAATGTCGCATTTCACCCAATCACCAAAAACTCATCGGATATCGACGAAGCTCGACGCCGCGGTCACGCCCAAAGTTGTTTCCAAATCGTTTTTTTTCGAAAGATATCGCGAAAAACAAGATTGTGAATATTTGCCCGAACGGACCATATCCCACACTCGAAAATATAACTGCGTGCACAGTTCAGTATGACGAACCGGCGCGCGCGTCAATTGGGCATGATCGTACTCACCTCATACATAAACGTGTCGTACATATACTCCTTCTCGGTGAGTTGGCAAAGCGTAGCTCCACCCCATGAGTTGGTGTGGATTTTCGCACCCGTCTCCATCGCCGAGTACCATAAATCGTTTCCCGCCCATGAAGCATAAACTTCGGTTCCTACGTACGAAAAGTCAAACACGGAGATCTGTGCCCCGGGGGCTACACCGCCGTGTTGATGAAGATCTTCAACTGGATCGTCGCTGAGGCATTCGGAGGAAGGAATATCGATATTCCCGTCGCAGGTGTACATTGGGCAGAAGACGACGAGGTGGAAAGTACTATCGTCGAGCATGGCGTCGACGTCTGAAGCCGATATGCAGCCACCGGCACAACCAGGAAGCTCGTCGCCGTAGCAAGCCTCTTCTTTGAGGCTGGATTGGGACGAAATTGCCCCCGCCGCGCTACCGGACGTCCCCGTGCCGTGGCCGCCAATAGTGTCTTGGTGGAACCCACCAGTGAAGGACGGTGAAGTGGAAGGAGAGGCGTACGAAGTATCATCATAGAGGTAGCTCAAGTGGTACGACAAATCGTCAAGACCTCCTGCACAGAAGGAGTCTTCGCTCCAAGTGTCGGAGTAATACTCCCCGCTGTAGTCACCGTACGATATGTACTCGCTGTCATCGTAGTCGAAGGGATCGCCAATGAAGTCGCTGAAGAAGGTGAAAGAGTCTTGCCCGCTAGAAGTGCTGCCTTGGTGGGGCGTCTTGAACAGCTGGATGCACTGCACGATCTGTCAAAACATTGCAACCGTTGCATTTGTAGGCGGTGGAAAATTGCACCGGATTGTCAGCAGGCTTGGAATTGACCTGGTAAGGGAGGGGGCGAAGTCTCTTCTAGCAGAGCCCTGCGCCTTGCATGACGCACGCACGACGTTTACTATGTTTGTTGAGCATGGGCTACTTTCTTCCTGCGCACGAGGACTGGGAGTTAACTTGAGGATGCAAGAAAAGCGAATTTATGGAGCACCTTCCTTCAACGTTCGCACAGGAGCGCAATGCCACAGACCTCATCGAGAGTTTGCGTTTTTGCCGTGAAAGGAGCAAGGGAAATACCATACCACTTATTTGGTTGGAACGGAACAAAGTGGACTTGAACGCGGTCACACTACAACAGAAATCGTTCGGCGCATATCACCAAATGTCTATTGGAGCCCATCTGGTGCACACATTGACATATTACGCGGAAAGGGTCGACGTTCGAGTTGGGCGATGAGTGAGCAGCAGGCCGGTAACACACTGGTGAACCGGTAGAGTTCACTTTGCCAAAGACAGGCAATCAACCCACCGCTGTGTCGCTGTCAAAGAAAACTGTGTTGATTGTGCGTTGGGTATATGTGTCGATAGGGTCTGGTGTGTATGATCTGTGTTGCTGGTGAATGCGCACGGTCTCAATCAAGAGTTCCTTTCCAGCAACACCACCAGAAGCTGCAAAAACGTGAGAGAACGCGCGGTTCGCGCGCGTACCTGCGATATCACCCCGCCGTGCGAAAAGGTTTGAAAATCGAAGTGGTTTATTTCGAGTATCTCACGGGGATCGGTGATATCACACGGGGTTGTGATGTCACCGGTGCCGAGGATTCCGAGTGGTTCCGGGGCACTCACTGCACCGGAGGTACCTCGCGGTTTCATCGCGTAAAATGTGAGTAGTTCGTACGGCGGCATACGACCGTAACGTTTTGGGTATCGCACGTATCGGAGTTTTCGCCCCCCCGTGCGATAGTAAACACAACGGCAAAGAGCGCAATGGGTCAATAGGTGGTCCGATACGCGGTATCGTTTTATCTTAGTGGTGGGATGACGAGTTAAAAGTAGAAATAGGAGAACGTGGAGGAGTCTTGAGGCAACACCTGACTGAGAGGTCCGAGGGGTGTTGGGAAACGTACAGGGCCAAGAGAAAACAGGTGCAAGGGATAGTGCACAAAATAAAGTACGTTTGGGATGAAGTAGTGCAGGAGGCCAACGGAGGCCTGGAAGGGAACGTAAAGCAGAGGTTGCAAGGGATTAGTGGAATGGTAGAGAAGACCACGCAGGGGAGAAATACAGTGGGTAGCAACATTGCGAGGTGTGAACGGTTGGCTAGTCAGCAGTGGGGACGGGAAAAGGGATTCTAGCAGGACACTACAAGAGCCTTGGAGTGCCGGCAGAGAATAAAGCTGTTGACCAAGTGCTTAAGAAGGAGGTGAAGAGATGGGCCTAGAAAGAAGAAGAGACATCGAAGGCAGACGCTAGGAACGTAGAGCTAGAGCAGGAGTTCAGTGAGGACGAGGTTCAGAATTGTATGAATAAGCTGCAGTGCAACAAAGCAGCCAGGTCGGATGGGATAGTCAACGAGTTCATGAAGGTTGGGGGAAAGGGGTGATGGAACTGCTGTTCAACTGGGTGTGGGAAAACGAGTAGGCGCCAAGTAGATGGAGGGAGGGGGTGGTCGTGAACTTGTTCGAGAAGGAAGACAAGACTGAACAAGGAAACTACAAGGGGATCACACCCTTGAACACAGTAGGAAACATGTTCTGTAAGCTGCTGAACGATGGGATGGTTGGTGTATTGGAGAAGGAAGGGAGGATAAGCCAGGTTCAGGCAGGATTCCGAAAGAAGACGGGGTGCGTACAGTAGACCACTCATTTACGGTAGGGAGAATCATCCAAGGTAGAAAGAGGGCGGGGCAGCCAACGTACTGCTTCTTGGATGTGGAAGCAGCCGACGATACGGTATGGAGAAATTGGCTGTGGGAACAATTGTCCGAACACGCGATGAAGGGGGAAATGTGGAGAATGTTGAACAAGTTGAAAGAGTGTACGAAATCCGCTGTCATCCTAGACGGAGAACTGAATGAAAATTCTTCAACATTGAACAAGGGTCCCACAAGGTTGCATTTTGTCGTCAACGTTGTTCCACGTGTTCATCAACGATCTGCTGAACGTTGTAGAGGGAGTTTGAAGGGGGTAAAGGTAGGGGAAACGTGGGTGTCGGGAATGATGTTTGCGGATGACTTTGTTGGAGTGTCTGGCACCCCTGAGGGACTTGAACCGTAGGTTGACGCAGCGAAGGATTTTACGGACTTGTGGAGATTGTCTGTCAACGTTAAGGAGAGTACCGTCATGGTTTGCAACAAGGACAGGGAGAATCCAGTAGAGTGTTGATGGAAGTGGGAGGTTGAGGAGCTTGCAGTAGTGGACCAGTACACATATCTCGGAGTAGAGATCGCAAAATAATGCTCGTGGAATGCACACATATCCAAGGTAGCGGAAAAGGGCAAAGCACGAGCAGGGAAGCTATACCCAATACTCGCAAACCGGCACCTCGTTAAATGCATCAAAATTACAGTTTTGAAGAGCGTTATCGTACCGCCGCTAGAGTACGCCGGAGACGAATGAGAAGGAAATAACAAGGTAGTCAAAGAGCTCGAGGCGGCGCAGATGAAAGCAGCGAAAATCATGCTACTGTAGGATTCTCCAAGGGTACAAGTGATGTAGCCGTCAGGGCAGAACTGGGGATCCGATCCCTACGATCGGGAAAAGGCGCAAGGAGTCTGACATGGCAGTATCGCAGGTGCGATATGGGAGAGGAGAGGTTGCCGAGAATTGTATGGGAGCTTGCTAGCCAGCACCCAGAGGTGCAATCGATTTTCAAAGCGGAATTTCTCAACAACCAGGAGGGTGCGAGCGCCAACTGATACTTCTCAGGAAAGCTCTCCATGAGATGTTTCCAAAACCGCCCTTTTCGACGGTGGAAACCTCCTGGTTGTGGAGAAATTACGCTCTGAGAATCGTTCGCACCCCTGTGCGCTGACTCGCAACCTTACGGTGGATAGACGAGGGAAGACATTTTTGAGCCATCGATGGCGAAGTAGGAAGGAGCGTTAGGCCATCGGCGATCGGTCCTGTGGGAACAATGCTCCGTCCTCTCGAGGACGCTCAGGCATGCAAATCACCAGCGTACGCCCCCCCCCCCGCGTGCCATAAAGGTTCAGGGTCGACGTGGTTTAGTTTGATTATCGCACAGGGATAGGTGATATCGCACGTACGTCAAGAAGAAATTAATTAGTAATCGATCGCACCCCCGTGCGTTTTCTCGCATCCTCACGGTAGCACGGCGCCCGACATTCCCACAGAGTACGTCCTATTGATACAAACGGCGACAGCAACGGGATGGTCTTCACGGGGCGGGGTCGCTCTACAGACATTGGCTGCATGCGGGGGCGAGAATAAGGCATTGATCCCCACAGCAATTGAATGTCATCAGGGTAGCCGCGCAAGAGATCAACACCAACGAAAGGTCCGGGGCTCCACAAAAGCACTCGAATTTCTACCGTCTCAGGTACAACGCTCCGCGGCACAACTACCACTGCCACCTCCTGTGTTTTACCCTTTCCCACCTTACGGCGTGACATGTCGAACGGGAAAGAGTAGTTGCCCAGCGCCGTCGACACGTTGCCATCGTCTTCCACTCGAACACCGTCGAACAAGTAGCCGTGCTCAACTTGGAGTCCGTCATCGTCCGCGAAGAAACACGATGTTTTATCCAACCCAGAGTCTACAACCTATAGGCAGCATGCAAGACACAGCACGTGGGGTTGTTTGGTGACAGAATGTTTTACTGAGTAACGTTCCTCGAATTACATGATAACCTTCGTTTTGCATATCAGGTTCATCACTGATATTCATTCGCCTCTACAATGGTCTAATCTCGCCTAGCCTCACCGAGCAGACATGACGATTGGCGTTCAAGACATCCTAGCGCCTTTGGGCCGCGGTACTTGACGGAAACTCTTCCACAATCGTTTGGAACCAATGGAAACAAACCTACGCATGCAGTAGACATTGTTCGAAAAGCGTTGTTAGCTCCATTTCGCCTTACCTGGATGACTTCGCCAGTGCCGTCCAATCCAGCATCGAGGAGCGGCGTTTCGGTCGTGGTATGTAGCGCTCTGCATTGACGCATTGGCCACAGCGTTGTGGAGTGTGGCCGATTGGAGGGGAGAGACGCAAAGAACCTCAGGCTTGGCCGCCAGCTGTGAAAGCAGCCCCATGTAGCACGCCGTTCTTGTCTCTGAAGGGAATCTCTTGCCCGGCAGAAGGTTGGCCATACCTGTTTGGCGGGGAACGAGGTAAATCTAGGGGCTTCAGAAAAGCTCGAGCGGCCGCTAGTGAACCGGCTTGACTGCTTCCTTGAAGGCTTTATACATATTACGTCCCCAAAACTGAAGAAAAATAAAGAATCCAACAACGTACGTACTTGTGGACTCGCTCACGCAGAACAGAGCTTGACAATCACATACCTTGTCGGGCCGAAAAAGTAGGAAAGTTATGACTCTTGATTTCTAGTTTTATTGGATTTAACAAATATCGTCTCGTTGGGGTCAGACAGCGGACATTAAACATAACAACTAGGAAGCATCCGTCGAATAGCACACGAGAGGGGAGAAAATTCGCGTGAGTCGGAAGAGTAGAAGAGAGAAATGACCCTGTGTGCATCTTCGGTCTAACTACCAAAGGAGAGGTCGCTTCACGTACAGAAAGGACCAACGAGAGTTCAAACTTGTTGAGGCCGATTTACCGTAGCTCGCCGACAAACGAACTCAACGTTTCACGGAAACATCTGAAATATTTCAGCAACACCGTTACAATAGATCCGAAAATATCCCCTCCCCAGCAACATGCCCTTGACAGCCCGCCCATCGAAATCGTGTTTACCTTCCACAAGCACGAGGTCGTCGGCAACATGGCGAAGTTTGAGCTTCCCGAACCCGCAGATCTCTCCGACTGTCCGAGCGCTCTTCGATGCCAAGCCATCAACCACAGCCGCCGCCCTGCTCCACTCTCGGACACGCGTTACATCGTACTCGCTGCGGTCTGCATCGGAGTCAGACCAGAAGCTCGCCCGCCTCATATTCACGCCTTCAGACATGAGGTCGGCATGTCAGTCGCAAAGAAAGGCTTCGGCGAAGGATTCGCCACCAACGACACTGCGAACACCCGGACGGAGAGAGTCTCACGCCCAAGCCATGAACATTGTCGAGGGTCATACCTTCGCCGTAGGTCGATCGCAGGGGTGCCGAGTGGTCGGAGAGGTCGAGGTTGTCGGCGGCGCCCAGGCGCGGTGATGTGTCGGGGCCGTGGTCAAGCAGGCTGGTGGCAAGCTTCAGTGAGGACAGCAGCGGGACCACGCTGAGTAGATCGAAGTCCTCAGGAGCGCGGATCACGGCGGTGGCAGACGACGGCAAGGCTGTCACAATGAAGCAGGTTCCGTCAGCCTCGGTGTTGGATCCGCGGTGGACGGCGGATTAGTGAAAGCAGTCTCCAAGGATGTCAAGGCGTGGCGACCCTGCTTGTAGTCGGCACAAGCGACGTACGGCGCCCTGGAGCCCTCAGCGGTGTAAGATAAAGTTGCACCATTAGACTAGTCAGCGCTGACTAGTCTAATGGTGTAACTTTATCTTACAAAAGATATACGCTCAGCTCATTAGCACCCGGCTGGATCACTTGGGTTTATGGCTTGGGATTGAGAGCAGGGATCTCCGGGGCCGGACTCCGATACGGTACGAACGAAAAAACTGCCCTGCTCACGTACGTGATTTGGTCCGCCTCCTCCACCTCACCTACCTGCCACACGCTCCACCATCTACAGTAGAGAACCTCCAGAGGTCCTTGGATTCCTTCCAGGCCCTCAAGACAACTTACATGCAGTAGGAGCGCTCGTGCCGGAGAGGTAGGTCCACCGAACTGGGTCCACAGCTGGAGCGACATGCTGCTTCTCCCGACGTGCGACCGACACACAGGACACGGCACAGCGAACCTCTCGGGTGCGTAGAAAGCATTTGATGTGTGGCGCCTCCATCCGGCACAGCAAACAATGATGACCATTCAAGCCCCGCACCAGCACGCACAAATCAACCGACTGGGGGAATCACCAAACCTCCTCTTCTTGTTGTCAAAACTGCTCATCATCATCATCAGCTAAATAGAGCATGCACACAAACGCGCTCGCCTGCCGACGCCCGCCTTGCAGTTGCAGCCGTCAGTCGTGGTTCACATACATAGTCTAACAAAAGGGTAGTGAGCAAGAGGGCGATACAATATGAGAGGATCAATATCGGTTGTCACGACCTCGAGCCGCTACAGCAGCAGTGGGACAGCGTAGGACATGGGGATTGTACGGGGAGGGTGAGCGAGGAACGGTGGGAAAAGTTTGTTCCCGCCATCGTTCGGAGGGGGTGTTATCCATGGTACCCTCCGTACGACTTTCGCACGTTGCAATCGAATAATAGTAGCATAGGTACTCGAGCTCCTATTTCATACATTCATAGATAGGGTTGCACTCTTTTGTCAAGACCGAACTCTACACACGGACCCCACTAGACTATAGTCTATGGGGTCCAGTGGGTCCGGTCACCACACCGACGGCGAGTTTTTTACAGGACGGGCCCGGAATAAGACCGGTTATTATGGCTCACAAATGTTGCAAGAAAAGTTGCAGTTCTGCAACTTTTCTTGCAACATTCCAAATGTAGGCCCAGTATGGGAGCAAAAAGTTGCGCAAAAAGTTTTGAAACTTTTCTCGAGGAGTAAAAAGTTGCAATCTGGCCAAAAAGTTTTGCAACATTTCCTTTTCCGAGTCGGGAAGGCGCGAGAAATGTTGCACCGCGGGAATTATACCGGTTCGGGTTTGTTGTTGTATTATTTCCGCCGTGCTCTGGGGTGACAGGGTTGCAGGGTCCGACAACCCACTACACAACAAACACACGCGCACGCGAGCCCCACCCCGACGCGCACCACACGGTGTCACAACCCACAACACATACCCACGTCCTCGAGCTCTACACCGACGCACATCACACCAAACATGGAGAGCACCGACAACCAGTCAGAAGAGACGGTGGCAGCAGCAGCTGCAGCCTGTTCGATCATGATGGGGCTGATCCTAGAAGAAGAGGCATTCGAGGAAGAGTGCGCTGCTGCTGCTGCTGCTGCTGCTGCACTCGAAGAGGAGGAGGAGAAACCCAAGGCAAAGCAGCAACGGCGGTCCTATCCCCGGCCAGAGTACATGAGGTCGCCCTGGGGACAGTGGCTAGGGAAACTCGCAGAGCTGCATGCTTCGGAGGGTGGACTTCACAAGGACAGCCGAGAGGCACGGTAGTTCGTCGGTGCTTTCCGAGTCTCCTACGAGATGTCCCTCGGCATCGTCAAGGCTGTGGCGCCCGCATTTCCAGCAGCAACACACGATGTAGCTGGCCGGGAGTGCGTTCCCGTGGAACTGAAGGTGCGTTGTGACCCATCTGGATTATTGCTTGACGGTAGGACAGCATGCGAATTACTGGTGCTTGCTGTTGAAGTCTACAGCAGCACACGACAGCAGTACCAGCAGCCTGTGTAGCGGCTTGAACTCGTCTATTTTCGTCTCTCCTCTGTGCTGTGCACGAGCTTCAGACGTGTGAACGTAAAGAGAGAATCCTCGCACAGCAGTCGTGTGTACCACAACGTTTTCCAGGACCTNTTACTGGTGCTTGCTGTTGAAGTCTACAGCAGCACACGACAGCAGTACCAGCAGCCTGTGTAGCGGCTTGAACTCTTCTATTTTCGTCTCTCCTCTGTGCTGATTACGAGCTTCAGACGTGTAAACGTAAACAGAGAATCCTCGCACAGCAGTCGTGTGTACCACAACGTTTTCCAGGAACTGTACCTACTGCTGTCCGACCTCCATGAGGGCAATCCCCTCGTGCTCGTGGCCCTACAGCCGCAAATGTCACAAGATACCATACCCCCTGGACCGATTTTCAAAGGTCGATTTCTCAACTGCAAAAGGAGTCAGCACCGAAAACGGCGCCGTAGAGCCCTCTCGCCGAGAGCTTTCCGAAAATGCATCGTTTCCTTCATGCATCCTCTTGGCCGTGGA